AAAAAAAAATATATTAGAGATCATTTATTGTATATAAATGTTAAATGAAGTTAAAACATAGAATAAAAAATAATATTAGGGTTAAAATTAATTATATTTTTTAAGAGATGTGCTATTGATGTACTTGGAAGGTTGGATCTTGTGTTCATTTTCTTCGATCTTTTATTTTCCAAATATATTTTTCTTTGTCTTCTTTTCTCTCTGGCTTGCAACTGGTCCATGTTATTGTTATTTTCTGCATAATAAATAATAGGATAGGAAATGAAATGTATAATTAAGTAAATAATATTATTATATAATAATATTAAAGTAATAAACGTACCTTTGTAAGCATCGGTTACAAATTTCAAAGAAAATTGACTTATATCGGAGGAAGAATTTGAGAATTTATCTATTTTTTTAGGTTAATAAATATTTATCTTATTAAAAAAAATTATGTCATTTAAAAAATACGAAAATAATTATAATAAAAAATTTATATGAAAAACTTACCTTTGTAAATCGAAATATTAACATTTGTAGTTGTTGAAGATACATGTGTTGAGTTAGTACCCAAATTGATATTTTTTGTATTATCTAAATAAATACTATTTGGTTTTCTAGTTTTTTAGAAGGAAACGAATGCATTGTATGGCTGCAACAATTAAAAAATAAATCAAATTAGTTTATAAATTAATATGCTTAATAGATAAGAATTAAGTATTGATATAATATTTATCCGACAAACAACTGAGTAGAAAATTAAAATTGAATTTAAAAATTATTTTTTTCATAAAATAATATTTCATTAATTTTGATAACTTATAAACTGTAGTGAATTTGTAGTATGTGTAAGTATTTTTTTATTAAGGATTGACAAAAAAATAAAATAAGATTATGTAATTTTTTTAAACTCATTTTTTTAGAATGTTTTTATAAATAAGAAATAAGTGAGTCATGTATTTTTTTAAAAAAAAATAAGTAAATTGAAATTTTTATAAATTATTAAATACTAAAAAATCGAAATTTGATGTTTTTTTTATATTGTGTAAATGTGAATTTAATTAAAAATATTAAAGTTTATAATTTAAAATGAATCCTTTTAATGAATAATACACACCATCAAATCGGAAACATATTTTGTCCTTACGCAAATGAAGAAATCAAAGTTATAGGTGCGAAGAATAAACTGTAACCCTACCTCTCGTTTCAAGAAAAACAGAGAAATCGAAGAGGAATGAATCAAATTTCAGCAAAAAGACTACCTGAGTCTCCTCATAACCATAGGTCGGACTACTTATCTCGCTTATTGTTTCGATTATTTGTTGTTCCTGTTTCTGTTAATTCGTTTTTATTGAATGAGATTACAATTTTCTGGATATAATTTGTTTATTGGGTAGATAATAAGTTTATGATTAAAGTGTTATACGATGATACTAATTAAGAAATTGAGCTTTTTTTTTTTGTGTGTGTGTGTGTACAAATTCTATCATCCCTAATGTACGCCAAGGAAAAACGTGATTTCCGTTGTTGCTTAGCATGAATGTAAACAATTCAAAAGCTCGATTTGATTGCTATGGGTTAGTGTTCATTCCCTTTTTCAATTTCAATCGGTGGTAACGTAAACCCTAGAATATTAAATTCCATACGACTATGTTCTTCTTTCTGAAATTGATATCTTCATTCTCTTGTGTTGGAATAAAGGGGTTTATTTTATTATAGAGGAGTTTGTTGCTCAAATTTTAATCTATATAAGTTCATAAACATTTTCTGTAGAGTATTTGAATTGACAAAGTATTTAACAACTTCAACTACTTATGTTAATTCAGAGATAATCAACTGCAAGTATAACAAAAATGGGTTGATGTGGTTGTTTTGTGTTTTCATTTGCAAACAAAATCAGAGGCCAGGGATAGAGTTAGAAAATAAGAAGATAGCAGGTCTTATTAAATGAAGAGGTGGAAGAAATAGATGAGGTAAAAAATGACAACATGACAGATAATGAAGAAGTTATAAACATTGGTAAAACCTTTCAACATATTCCAAGGTAATTTTCATTTTTGTTTTATTAAACCTACAATCTACATAATAATATATTTTTTTTGGCAATTACTTATATATTAATTTCTATTCATTAAAGTTACATGTTCTAAAGAAAACATTCAAGTTTACAGTGTGTCAATTATAATTTTTCATTAAAATGTTGGTTATAATATTGAGTTGAAAGACTTTCTGCATATTCAAATGTTTCTTAAAAACCAGACTTATCATGTTTTAAAGGTAAAGGGTTCGACATGTTTCATAAAAAATTAAAAACAAAAACCCAAGATACCATTAGTCAAAGCATTAAGTCATTGTTAAGCAAATTCCGAAAGACACTTTTATTTTTAAAGTGGTTACTGAAATCTTAACAAATAAATGATCCATGTGTAAAAAAGTAGCCACATAACCTTTCAAATCAGTTGAATATGCTTTAAAAAATATAATTTAAAAAGATAAATCTGACAAATGCAAAGGGATAAAAAGGCTTTCTGTTTGCTGCATTTAATTTTATTTGGGCAAAATTGTAATAGTATTTCATTCTGGTTTTTGTTTATGTATATTCACATAATCATCTGTCGAATGGATTTCAACATTAAATCTTAGAAGTAACGAAATAGCCTTTTTTTTTTATTAAAATGGCAACTTGTATATTTGTATTGAATGTTAAATGAGAGCAATTGAATGCAAAATATCAAAAGTAGAACGATAATATGCGTAGATTCTGAAACCGTAATGGTTTGAAACATAAGTGTAAGAAAAGAAATATGTTATTTGTCAGGAAACTCATGAAAAAAACGATCGTGGAGTGTATGTTAAATAATAGTAGTTGAGGGTTATTGTGTAAAATAAAGGATGTTTGTTTTTATACATCAGTTGTACTAAAAGAAAATATAGAAACTGATGAAAAGAATACTACCAATTAGTCTAAAAAAACTTACCTGATATGTGATTATGGATGTTTTGCAGGATTAATAGGAGGAAGAATTCAATGGTAGTTGATGTGTGAACCGAATATATGAATAGAAAGTTTATGAAGCAGATTGAAGTAACAAATGCGATATAAGTGTTGCAGATGCTTTTGAAAGACAAAGAAGACAGAATCTGGAATTTAAAGAAGATGTATTTCACGTATAGAGGTATATTTATACATATAAAAGTTATTATTTTAATATTTTCAGAATTTAACTCCAGATTTTATGCATATATTGTTATTTAAATTGTATTGGATATTTTTTTGTACCTGATTTTATGGGATTTAATAGACTCTGGATCAATTCAAAATAACTATAGGATTTGCATTTAATAAGTGATTACATAAAATAAAAAATAAATGTGTTATATGGACGAAATTAAAAAATTAATTATGGTATTGATATATTTGACTTGAACATGAAGTGTATAGTTTATTTTATTAACAAATTTTTGCATATTATTTGAAAATCAATTTATTTATTCAAATTTTATTAATGCATCTTTTTGTTACATATTTTTCGGGATTGTATGTATGAATTACATGAAAGGACTTGAAGATGGAGATGAAGAAAAGAAGCGGGAAAAAATAAATTTGGAGGTCTGGGAGATTGACACGTGGCACTCTTCTACGTATTTTCTTCAGCTGCGACTCTAATGAAGGTAATGCTATCTGGTTTGCATATATTTTTTTAGAATAAATTTAATAATACTTGGGAGTATCATTTGTCATTTGCAACATGGCTGGCCTTAAACTTATTATCCATGGTTAGAAAAATTAATTTCTCTTCGGCTTTATTAGTTTGATAAATTGTATATACAAATGAAGTAAAATTTATTCTCCAGGTTTTAATTTAGAAACATTAATAAAAGTTTATTGTCCAGATTTTAATGTAGAAACAATATTTTAAATTTGAAATCGTAATAAGTAATAAAAAAAATTGAAAAAAAAGTTATTATTTTTAAAAAATTTAAGTTATATCAACAACTGTTTGATGTTGGTTTAAAATGAATATATCAATGGACTCGAATTAACATTGTTATAAATATTTTTTGGTAATATATTTTTTTAGAATAATTTTAATAATACTTAGGAGTATCATTTGTCATTTGCAACATGTCTCACCTTAAGCTTATTATCCATGATTAGAAAATTTGATTACTTGACTTTGACATTAAAACTAAAACAGTAAGTAAGTATAAATTTTAGTCTATTGCAACTTTAAAAAAGAAGGCAGTAAAATGATTAGGAAAAAAAGGATAATAAATAATTCATGACATCTCAATTAGAATGGATTTAACGAATATGTAACACAGAAGAACATGTACAATTTGTTACAAATTCACATACAAAAAAAATCAACAATGTAATATAATTCGAAAAGAAGAGATAGACCAACTTTTGCAGATTTGTTGATGTAATATAATTCGAAAAGAAGAGATAGACCAACTTTTGCAGATTTGTTGCAGTAAGAACAATTTTCCCATAAAAAAAGTAAGTAAAACTTGGTTGAAGAAAAATAGGAGAGTGTGAATGAGGAACACAAATAAAGACCTGTTGGAATTGATATTTCATCTAATTCATCTTGGATGACACATTTTCATGAACATATCATACATATTTACACTTTTCTGTCCATCTAATGCAAATATGTAATAAAAGTAATGTAGTCTTTCAAGATTATGTAATGAAAGGTGCATCAGATCATGTAGCTACCTGCTAGCTGGTGTTTCATAAACTGTTTATATAGAAACACATTGAGTCTGAGATTTAATCAACATAGTTATAATAATATGTCATTGAAATCATCCAAAAAATACATTCCAACGATGATAGTAATAATAAAAAAAAAACAAAATGAAATAAATTTAAATGAACCATTATCTTAAAATTTGTCCCACAACAAACTTATTTCGACCAATCATTGTACCAAATAACTAAAACAACTTTAAAAACCAAAGCAACCCATCTCAAAAATTCTAATTTGTTTATGAAAACATAAAACAACTCACTTTTCCACTTTAGGAACTAAAAGTGTATTTCCTTCTCCGATTGATTTTCTTTTAGATTTTGTCGAACTCAAATCACCTCCAGAATCAACGTCATAAATGTCATGGAGGTTGCGCGTCAAATAATTTGATATTTTCAGCGGACTGGTTGCAGATGATTTATCAACTGTTGATGGAGTAAAACTCTCATCTGTTTGTGATATCACATCCTAAATTAAAAAAAATAAAAATAAATAAGCTGTCATTTGGAATATATAAATATTATTGAAAGTTAATATGGGAATATAAAATACCTTTTGAACATTCTGAACAATATCATCTGATTCGAGTGGTACTTCATTTAAGAACACTGATTGAGTAGTCTAGAAAATAAAATGGATATATACAAAACGTTATGTATATAAATAAAAAAAAACAAATATAAAGGGTGATCATTAAAACGTTATGTACCAAAATTTCTAGTTACTTTCCAAATGGGAAACAATGTCTACATCCTCTATAATTTTGACAACGCTGTAGATATTATTATAGTTGTTGACGTTGTAGGATGTAATATCTACAAGAAACGCAAATTTTCGGTTTTTCAATACGTTCATTTGGTTTGGAAAAAGTTGCATACTGTCTCCAGCCTGTAAGAAGTTGTTTAATATATTAAAACAAAAAAATTTATTTGATAAAAAAAATTTAGAATAAAATAGTATACCTATTCATGTAATGTTTTCAACTCATATGCACTTATATCCAACAATCTTTTTGCTTCCCTTTCAAAAAGAGTAAATCCTATGGTGCCGGTATGATCTTGCACGTTGATTAAAATTATATACCTAAACAAAAAAGTATTAGTTTAATATTAATTTTGTTGAAATAGTGAAAGATTAATTAATATTAATATAAGTAGATATGTGTTTACTTTAAAACAACATGAAAATTCTCGTCATTGCAAACTGGATCTTTACACTGAATAACAACACTTTCTGAGATGTTGTCGGGGGAAGTATAAGACATATTTGGTTTGGGCATTTTGTTTATCTTTTTCCCACATTTGTAGCACGCTTCATAACACCAAGGTAGATTATGTCTTATATTGACAATCTTACCGACTAATACAAATTTCATTGCCTATATAAAATAAAATGTAAAATTAACAGAAAACACAAAATATGTAAATAAAATAAAAGGATATAAAATAAAGAAACATACTTTGAGTGGTTCTGTGATCTCAGAAATGGTTTTTAAAGGGAAATCCCCTTTAAAATCATCTATGTACGAAGAAGCGTAACTTGTCAGCGTAGTTATGCTTTTTTCCAGTGTACCTCCATTAACATTAGCTTTCAATCTGTAATGTTTGAAGTATATATTATTAATTAGAATAGACTGAATTGTTATAACTTTAAACACAATATATTTTTTTTTTAAACATTTTAAATATATATTAAAATAGACTAACTCTTTTTTGAAGTCATTAATCTCATCAATTTCAGAATTAATGAACATTTTTGTTACATCATAGTGACTTTTTGCTTGACCTATTCCTGTAAAAACAAATTAATCAATAAAAGTAGATTGATAAAACTAGTTAAATATATATAGTTTCACTACAAACCATCCAAATGTTAAGTTTAACAAACTGTATCACTATAACAACACAAGTAACTGTGGGGTTACTTTTCAAGTACTGTGACAATTGGTGTGCTTGACTTCCAAATATAGTGACCTGCAAGTGTACAAATCTAAATAAAAAATAATTTAATTAGTAATTTGGATTGGTTGTTATATTAGTAAAAAAATATGAATAAAAATAAGATAAAAAATTTATGTTTGCATAATCTCACTCTAAGTTGCTTAGTGTAATCTTCATGTAATGCCTTAGTGTGTTAGGATCGGATGCTTCAAGGGGACCAAATGCGACAATTAGTCCAATAACATCTACACAAGTTTAATAAAATAGAAGTAGATATTATTTAGTTAAATACTAACATAGTAACATGGATAATAAAATGCACAAATTATAAAAATGAATGGAATAAAATTTCACAACTAACTAAAGAATGACTCTCTTGGGCAAGTTTGTTCGATGATAGAATTAAATTCAACAAACATAAAACCATTAACTGGACCTGAAAAATCCTCATATCTTTTTATAATAGTTTTCCAATCCAAAGTAATGGTTTGTCTCTGACCGGTAACACTAAAACCATTTTTCACAGTAGCCATACTGGGTTTTAAAATGATGTAACTTTGATCTTCCTTTAACAAATGACCAAATCTGGAAAAAAAAATTTGTTAAATACACGAGATTGGTATTTTGTTCCCTGTTCACCAAAATAAAAAAAAATTATATTGATTGAAACATATGTAATATTTAGTAGTTTTAAAAAAATATAACAAACCTCTTCGTCCATGACGATCATTTCAATGGATAAAACGATATTATTTCTTATGAAATTCCACATCTTTAAAACCCGTAGTTTGAGATGGGAATCATCAGCCAAACTTTCAATGTCTTTTAAGTATACTTTATTACCTATATTCATTTCCTACAAAGAATTGATAGCATAAGAAATAAAAAAAATAAAAAAATAGCAACATATTATAAAAGTAAAACAGAAACTTTTTAAACCATATACACACAATAAAAAATTAAATCAATTATGTTGAACATAGCAATAGGAAATTTGCAAATTTAATTAATAGCATAAGAAATAAGAAATAAGATGTAACATCCGGATTTTACCAGGTAGCTTGTAATCTAATTTTTTTGTTATATTGTGAGAGGGACTCGGCGAGTTGGAGCTCAGACTCGCCGAGTAGGGACGCGGAATTGAACATTGGTGCGCGCCTGGACTCGACGAGTCCAGGATATGGACTCGACGAGTCCAGGATATGGACTCGGCGAGTCTGCGCTGTGTAATGAAACCCTAAATCTCCGGGTTTGAGGCCTATTTAAAGGGCCTTATGGCCGTCATTTGTGCTCACCCAACCCTCAGTGAGTGTCCCTAGTGTTCTTGAGCGATTTGTGAAGAGAAGGGAGCCATTCTTGACCTTGTGTGTGTTGTTTAGCAAGAAGAAGGAGATCCTAGGCAAGAGGAAGCAAAGGAGGTTGCTATTTCGTGGATTTGGAGCTTAGATCATCACTCTAGAGGTATTATCTCGGACCATTTTCTGTTTAGTGAAGCTTGTTGCGATTTAGGGTTTGTTGAACCCTTTTATGGCAAGATTTGGTGTCCTTTTGGTCCCTTATGAGGTTGGAACCATAGATCTGGACCCTTAGAGGTCCAGAGTGTCCTTTACCCAAGCTTTTTGGGGATCAATGGAGGCTTTGGATTGGAATCCTCATGCCTTAGGTCAAAACTCCATTATTGAGCTATAGGGTGTGTTATGAGCACCAAGATAGGAGCTTTACGTGATGAATCAGTCGAGGGAGGCCAGATCTATAGTTTTTGGAAGCAGATCTGACCTTAGAAGCGAGTTTGAGTGGTTGCATGGCATGGACTCGCCGAGTCTGTTCATCCGACTCGGCGAGTAGCTTGAAGGTTGCCTTGGGACTGCTCAGCGAGTGGTCCAATCGAGTCACGGGTAGACTCAGTGAGTCAGGGTGAGTTGGAGAGGGATGACGAGTGGACTAAGTCAAACTTGGACTCGCCGAGTTGTCCTTGAGACTCGGCGAGTTGAGTCGGGGTGGCCCCGCGATTCATTCAGGTGAAACTCGTCGAGTAAAGGGAGGGATACTCGACGTGTAGTAAGAGGATTTCAGAGGGTAGGTGAAAACGTCTAGACTCGCCGAGTCGCCATGGTACTCGCCGAGTCCGGTCAGAGTTGACCATTGACCGTTGACCAAAGTTGACCTGTGTTGACTTCTTATAGATAGTCAACCTTAGAGATATAAAGTGTTAATTAGAAACGTATAATTTTATAGGAGGATTAGAGCTCGGAGGATCGAGCACGAGGGATTTCCAGGATTCGTGAGATACCGAGATACGCGAGGTGAGTCTTCTCACTATACTTTACCTTGAGTAGGTAACCAGAGCTATTTGATGGGGTAATTGTATGCTATGTATGTTATGTGTTGTATTGCATGATATCTATGTGATTTATGTGGTGCATGTTTATCAGAGTTAGAACCTGAGGGTTCACAGAGTTTGGGTGCACGGACCCACAGAGTTATAGCCTAGAGTGGCTAATATGTATTATATGTGGTATTTTGGGGAACTCACTAAGCCTTGTGCTTACAGTGTTGATGTTATTTGTTTCAGGTACTAGTGACGACCGCGGGAAGGCGCCAGCTTGATCCGTACACACACACGTTTGGAGCTTGACGTTATGATCTTGGGATTTGTATTGTTTTTGTTGGACAATTAAAATGATTGTTTTAATGAATATTGATAGAATTATGTTTTATAAAAATTGAAAATTTTGGTTTAAATTTTAGGTGTTACATAAGAAGATAGCAATATATTATAATATCAAAGAAGAAACTGATTAAACTGTTTCAACCATATTATAATTACACATCTTTACAATGTTGTTGTTTATCAATAGTGTTTTTTATCTACATACACTAACATTTTGATATCCATATTATAACTGCATTTGAAACTTTATTGATATATGATTTTATTATGTTAAATCATGTTTATCATTTGTTTATCCTATTTAATTTAAAAACACTAACCTGGTATGTGAATTCTGAAATCTTGTTGGAAGAGGTATATGTGGAATATTCACAGATGCAATTGAAAGTCATAGAACATGATTAAGGGATTTTAAAAACATGGAGTACATGTTTTGAGGTAATATTTATATACACAGATACCTTTTGGTTAATTTTGTCTATGTTTTCATAATCCTTTCAAAACGAATGCATCTTTCTTTGAACTCAGAAACATGCGAACAAATAACAGTATAGTGTATTGATTAAAAAAAAAGTTTCAGACACAAACATGTACATATATACATACGGTAACAGATACATACACAAAGAAATCAATAAAAAGAGCAGTGAAGATGAATGAAACAGATACATTAAAAAAAAATGAGACAGCTTAGTGAACTGAATAGGTAGATACAGTAACAGTTACATACAAAGCTTGATATTACGATTATGAAGCCTTCAAATTGATAAAAAAAACAGATACATACACAAAGAAATTGATAAAAACAACAGTGGAATGAATCATCAAATGAATGAACTAGTTACCTTAAAGAAAAACAGAAGACGAATTTAGATGGTTTCCTGCAATTGATATCTCTTTTGCTCTGGAAATGAATCACTGTGAATGAAGAAACCGTGATATTGTATTTAAAAAACAAAGATTAGGTAAGTTACGGTATTTAAGGAATTGATAAGCATTTACCTTTTGACAGATTCAATTATCGTATTTAATCATGTTATGATTATTTACCTTCCTTTTTTTTTCAAATGCAGGAAACGGACGTTCTTAATGAAGGGCAGAACCGGAACTTCACTTTGTGTAAAATAGTGGGAAAATTCGATGGGGGGAAGATTCTATGACTGCCACGTGTATAAAATCTACCTATTTATTAAAATAGGGGATATAAATTAAAAAGTATTATATATATATATATATATATATATATATATATATATATATATATATATATATATATATATAAAACAACTTAATCATTTTTTAAGAAATTGCCAAAATAACCCTTGATTCGAAACTTTGCAAGTTTGGAAGTAATTATTATTATGGATTTAATATCATTCTGATTACCTCTCAACGAAGATTATACACATATAAACACAATTATAGTCTCATAGGCCTTAGGGGCTGTTTGATTTGCTTCTGACTGGGTCTAGTCAGACATTTTAGCTGGCCCGGTCCGAGTCAGTGTGTTTGATTTGTATTGAGTCAGACGCCTAAGATAACTCGGTCAGCTGTTTTCATCTGACTCGATCCACCTCAAAAATGAAGCTGACCGGAAAGAGAAACTCATTTTCCCAATTAGGCCCTTCTCATTCTCTGTTAACGGAGTTCACTCCATCCTCTCAATCACAACTCTCTCGATCATCTTCAGCCTTCAGCATCGCCAACCACCTGATTGGGTCCGCTACCATCGGTCGTCTTCCTCATGAAATTGAGTCCACTAGAGAAAGATGTTGACCAGAAAAATGGACGCACTTTACCCTCTCCCCATTTACGCATGTTCTATATCTCCTTCAATTGAATCGATTAGGTCCATCAGCCAAACCGGTCGTCTTCCACATGAAATTGAGGTAAAGCGTAGGGCATATGAAGACACGGGTATGTGTGCCCTTCCATTCTTCTTCTGTGCGATTGCTACAGTTCTACTTATGGTCCTTGAATTTCTCCTTCTTTGCGATTGCTACAGTGCCACTTCTGATCCTCAAATTTCTTTTATCTTCTACATGACCCAAAGTTGAAACACTGCTATTTTAAAGCTATGAAATTGTTACCATTGGGGTTTGTATCTGCGTTTTAAAGTAATTAGTGGGAAATGGGTTGTCTATTTTGCCCTTCAATGATATTGTTTTGTTTCCTGTAAAATTAGCAAAAACCCAAGAAGATGTATATTAATTTCCATATGAAATGTCCATTTTGAATTGGAACAATTCCTTGATGATTGGGGAACAAAACTAATGGTGATTTGATGGAATGACAAATCAAAACTTGGCAGGCATTTATGGTAAAGTCTCGAGAGCAAAATACATTTTTTCATTAAAGGGAAGTTATTGGTTGACATTAAGAATAGGTTTAATTGTATTTTAATAAAAGAAGAAGAAACCGAAAACCTTTCAATAAAAATTATCAATTTTGAAAAGAAGATTATTGATCTATAGCTTATGGAATCTAAAAGTTGATTGCATTTAATTTTTATCCTTTGTGTGTATATTTTTTACTTTTAATCTTCATGTTCTTGAGATTATAGCATAAATGGAGTTTGTTAATAATATATTGTGATTAAACAACTTTTGTGGTTTGAGGGTAGTATAGTCATTTTACATAGTCAGTCAGATGCAAAATCAAACACCAAGTTTCAATCAGAAGTTAACTCAGTCAGAATTTCTAACTCAGTCAGCTTCTAACTCAGTCAGTTCTAACACAGTTAGCAATAATCAAAGGACCCCTTAGTCTAAATACAAGGGTGGACTAATGTACAATTATACATACTAATAATACTACATCCCCATAGTTTTATCGATAATAGTTTGCAGACGATCAACCGGA